AGATATAAGCTCATCCTGACATTATACTCGTCGAGACCTTTCATTTGAGTACCCACATCAATTTTTTATATATTTCATATATTTTGTATATATGATATTTATGAAATATATAAAATATATAAAAAATTGATGTGGGTACTCAAATGAAAGGTCTCGATTAGTACAATGTTGGAGTGAGCTTATATCTTTAAAAATATCAATAGTTCACACGATACAAGATCATTTCTTAATTGTTGATATTTTTAAAGATATAAGCTCATCCGGATGTAAAACTCATCAAGAGCTTTCGTTTGAGTACCTACATGCATTTTTGATATATTTTTCATACATACATATATGGAATATATATAAATATATATAATGTATATAAATATATGAAAAATTGATGTGGGTACTCAAATGAAAGGTCTTGATGAGTGTAACACCGGGATGAGCTTATATCTTTAAAAATGTCAATAGTTCACAAGATACAAGGTCATTTCTTAATTATGTATCTATAGATAGAGCATTTTCGAATGCAGCCTAAATATTCATTATAATAAATTGACTATTGGTGAGAATGATATGAAACTTTAAAAATGCTCAAATTCAAGTCAGGACTTTTGCAATGACACCAAATTTCACTAAAAAAACGGATTTTGTCATATGACTATCCTGGAGACAAAATTTTTTTATTCTTTTAATAATATAGATAATGGGTTCAAATTTTCACTAATTATAAAAATCTTAATTTTAAAATTCTGGCTTATTTATTTAATTGCCCTTAAGAAAAAATCATAAGAAACATATTTTTTCATAAAATTAAGTTCTAAACAATTTTTATTGAAAAATTGTTTTTATGATCAATATTTTCTCCTCAATATAAAAAATTCAACACCATTAATTATTACAATTATTTCAAAATTACTGCAAAAATCCTGGCCATAATTATAATTATTATCTTAATCTTGATGATTATTTTAATTTATATTTTTTATTTGCAGTCTGGCGAACATAATTTGCATATAACCGTACGTGGTGTAGGATTGATGGCCACATTAATGCGCAATATCTTCAACCGATTCAATATAAAAAGACATATAAAAGTATCTGTATCTAATATCGAATGTCTTCCACATCCTCATAAACTTCCAAATTATATTTTCTACAAAATCTACCTTACCTATTTAATAATATGGATTTTAGTATTTATCGACGGTTATATTAAAAGATTAAGATCTAAAATGTGTTCATTTTTTTATCCCAAACGGGAGGAGCAACGTATCGTCTACTTGTACAACGATGCCCTGAGGCGCAGATCACATTTCAATCGTTTCAAACGTAGCCGGATAAGAGTATTGGTCCGAGAACAATTGTTAGAACGTAGTGTCGATATTTGGTTCGTCCTAAGAAACGACTACCCACGCTGGTTTGGTTGGCTCCGTTTTTTCGCGTTTGCAAGACCTAGATGTCTTCTTTGCAACGAAACGGAGCCACGAAAAAAATCTAATTTCCACAAATGCGAAACCCCGAGCTGTCCTTTCTACTACTGCAAAGATTGCTGGAATGATATAGAGGAAATTTGCTACGCTTGTACACCAGATAACTTTGACAGCCAAGACGAGTCCGACGTCCTGGATTCCGATGAAGAAAACGCGAGGATAAATGCTAGATCCGAAGAATCCTACTTCTGGCACCATTGCGTGATTTGTTAAATTAATTATGATTGCCGTTACCTAAGACTTCAGAGGTCATGAATAAATTGTATAAAAATTAATTTAATAAATTAGAGGCATGCAAATTCACGTGCAGTTAATAAGCTCAGTGATTTATTTGCGTAGAGCGGATGGAAAAAAATAAATAAAAGGACTGGTGAATCGTGCATCATCATTGTGTCTATAGCTACGTACCTTGCATTACTGCTTCGAGTTATCATCGTGCTAAACAAACTTACAATGAAGATCCTTATCATTTTCATCGTCTCTGCGACAATTGCATCTCTCTGTAGTTTTGTCTCTGCTGAAGTTCTTAATAAGTCCAGCATGTACTCGACAAAGTATGATAATATTGACATTAATGCAGTTATCAAAAACGACCGGCTGGTTAATAATTACGTCGCTTGTATGTTGGATGAAAAACCTTGTACTCCAGATGGTGAAGAACTAAAAAGTAAGTTTTAGATATTTTATTATGAAAATAAGAAAAAGTATTTAGGCTGCGTTCGAAAATACTCTATCTCCAGATACATAATTAAGAAATTACCTTTTATCTTGTGAATTATTGACATTTTTTAAGATATAAGCTCATCTTGATGTTACACTCATCGAGACCTTTCATTTGAGTACCCACATCAATTTTTTATATATTTTATATATTTACATATATTATAAATATATATGTATGAAAAATATATCAAAAAAGCATGTGAGTACTCAAATGAAAGCTCTTGATGAGTGTAACATCGGGATGAGCTTATATCTTTAAAAATGTCAATAATTAAGAACTGACTTTGCTATCTTGCCAACTAATGATATTTTTGAAGATATAAGCTCACCTCGACATTACAGTCATCAAGACCTTTCATTTGAGTACCCACATCAATTTTTCATATATTTATATATATTATATATTATATATATATATATATGTATATATGAAAAATATATCAAAAATGCATGTGGGTACTCAAATGAAAGCTTTTGATGAGTGCAATATTAGGATGAGCTTATATCTTAAAAAAAATCAATAGTTAAAAAAGTACAGAGCAATTTAACAAAATTCATTATTTAATAAATCAAAATTTTATTTATTTATAATTCACAAGTCACATAGTGACTGCAAGGTTGCTACTATATTTTATTTTATTAAAATAAATATTTTTTTAAAACAAAATTACCTTATTGCAGAAAATATTCCAGACGCTTTAGCGACAGAATGCGCAAGTTGTAGTCCAGCGCAAAAAAATATCGCTGAAGTAATGTACCATCATCTGATTGATAATCGACCGGATTTATGGTCCAAACTGGAAGTTAAGTACGATCCATCGGGCAGCTACAGAAGACATTATCTCAACCTGGACCAGGATGGTGATGATTATGATGATGATGATGATGATGATGATGATGATGATGATAATGAAGAAACTCAATCGACGACAATGAAAGTTTAACTTGACCGTCTGTAAATAATATTTCGGGTGAATGGACAATAAATAATAAATAATTCAATGATTAATATGCGTCATAACTATAGGAGGTAATTTAGTATTCTTAAAGTGTGCTTGTTTGTTCTTGGTACGTTTAATCCATACGAAAATTAAAAAAGGCTCCTAAGACGGACGATTTAGTGACAAGTAACATGCGAAAATGATGGTTCACCTAAGTACTGTATGTACATAACGTAACGTGTAACGGAACGTGGGTGGGCCCAAGATATCTTCCCCAGCCAGTCTTCCCGGAATTCCATGTAGCATATAGTATTCTTTGTGTGTTGTACTGGTTGCGAGATGATTCTACAAGTACAAAGAATAATAAAAAATATATTTGTATTTTTTTTTCTTATTTTCTAGAGTTTCAAGCAAGGGTAAATCCGGTGATGTTGTAAACTTTATAAATATACTTATATATCCGTGCATATATGCTTAAATATCCAGACGTGGGATGTAGCGCACTGATAAAAGGATTTATTAACTATTAATAATTTAATTTGTTAGAAGATAATTATTTAATTTATTAAATTTCAATAAATATTTTTTAATATTCAATAAATATTTATTTGGGAGAAAATTACATTTATTAATAGTTAATTGTTAACAAATATTTAATAAATAATTCATTAACTGCTATACAGAAAGAAAATTTCTTGACTGTAGAACAAAATTCTTGGCTCAAGAAAATTTTCGGGTGCCTGAAGGAAGCGAAAATTCACCTTGAGAAAATTTTTATCTTGAATATTTGATACCCATTTTATATTATTTTACCGTGCAATGATACATATTGAATGAAAAAAAAAAAATGAAATATTATTTGATCTTTCCATTTGACATGTTAATCAATAATAATATTATTAATGACAATTTACTTCTATCTTTATATTTAATTTTTTGGAGCAAGAGATAAATTTTCTCAAGACAAGAAAATTAACTTCCATCAAGAACTAAATTTTTTGGAGCAAAAGGCTGAATTTTCTCAAAATAAGAATTTCTTGACTTAAATAAATTTTCTTGGATCAAGATACGTATTTCTAAAGCAAGAGAATTAATTCTGTTGGAATAAGTGAAATTTCTTGTCAAAAAAAAAATTTTTTTCCTCAAGAAAATATTTTCTTGGCTCAAGTAAAAAATCATTTATTAACAGTTAATAAAGCTTATTAAATATAAAAAAATCCTTCTATCAATGCGTAATTTTAAAAATGAAAATAAAATATTTACCAGCATTAAAAAATTAAAATCTCCAAGTAAAGCCCGTCGGCAAAATTCAAGCAGACATGTCTCGGCATTATGAGTTTGGTGCTTATTGTAGGTATGTGCTTATGCTGCGCAAGTATTTATAAATGATTTTACTTAGAAGTATTAAAAGAAGAAAAAAGTGAGGAGAAGAGAATAAAAAAAAAGCTAAAGGTTGTCGGAAAAAAGGGACGTTAAAAATGGATGTCAACTTTTATTCTTCGCCCCCATCTTTCTTGACGCGCAAATAGAATAGTACAATTTCACAGTCCCCCTGAGAGGTCTTTGTGTTAGTGTATAGTGTGTAGCAATATAATGGAAAGAGTAAAGTAAAGCAGGCAGGCAAGCGCAGCGAACGAATTCGGGGACGAGGAACGAACCAACTCAGAAAGTCTCTTCTTAACGCGCGTTGGGTGGTCTGCCGCTCGCTGTTTATGGGCCACTGCATCTGCGCTAGCCCAAGCTCCACTCGTACCATGTATTACCCGAGCCCGCGCTCGTTCTTTGAGCGACGCTCTGTGTGTGGTCTACGCGCGCCCAGCCTATACAGGTATAACTTCTCTCTCCGAGGCTTGCTATATAACTCGGCTATAACTGAACAACATACACATATAAAATATATATTATATATATATATACGCTCACTCTAATATACATTCAATTCACTGGTTGTTAATGACTTACCCGTATCAACGTGTTATGTTGTCTTTGCGCGGATTCGCCCGTACTTAGCTTTCATCCACAATAATTATTTTAGCTATTACATACTTGGATTCTGTTCGAGCTATTTTACATACAATCCTCCTATCCTGACAGTCGGAGTAAAAGCCTCCGCTTGGTAGAGTAAATAAATTTTTAATTCAAAAGCAAATGCCTCTTAATTAATGACTATGTCCCAATTACCCGGGCTTCAGTCAATAAAATTTTTTTATTGAGCATTATAGTCTACCGAATATTCATTAATGAAAATTAACTTTGCCGGGATCTAAAAAATTAAAAATTTTTTTTTATTGATATAATTATTACAAAAAAATATAAAAAAAAAATTTCATTTGTAAAAAAACTTGAAAAACTATAAGTACAATTTTTTAATTCTAATTTAATAAATGAAAAATAATCAAAAAATTAAAAACTTCGGCTAATTTTAGTATTATTATTTATTAATTAAGTTAGCCAACATCTAAAAATTTTTTTTATTGAAAAAATTATTACAAAAAAATAAAAACTTGAAAAACTATAAGTGCAATTAAAAAAAAATATTTTTTTGTGATAATTTAATTAATAAAAAAAAATTAAATCGTCGGCTAACTTTAGTATCATACCAAATATATTCTAAGTAATAATTAACTATTCGCATTTATGTTACGCAAGTTAGCCCAAGTCCTATCAATTATTCTAAAAAATATATAATAAAATTTATAATATAAATTTCAGTATTTAATGTTAGTTTATAATCCTTAGATTAAAACTCCGATTAAATAACTTTTATTACCTGTTTTTTTTTTCTTCTATCAAGCCCCAGCTAGCTAGATGGTATCAACTATAATCTACATATAATTGAGCTCATGCAGATGTATAATTTAATAAACTTTTTTAAAAAACAATAGTCTTGATAATATGAGCGTGGGCTTTAAAATGTCACACTGTCTAAAAAGCAAAGAAGAAATAATTAATTAGTGTATTATAACTTATTAATTGATAAAGCTTAAATGTTGAATAAAACATATGTCTTGTCAGTGCAATTTTTCTACTCGATCTAATTCTAGTTATGAAGGTTCTTCTTTTGACGTCTGCAATTTTCAAATTCCAGTTGTCCTTTACCTTCATCTTCATACTCTTGTTTATATTATTATAATTATTATTATAATGTGTGGTATACAGGAGAGTTGCGACGAGGACCACACACGTGGACGGCGATCAGTGCGCGCATCAAGCCAGTAGTGTTTTTTATATTTTTTCAGCCTTTTTTTATTAACTTCTTATATATATTTTCTCTTAGTTATACGTGCGAACGCGTTGAGCAGCACAATTCTCGGTAACATCACCTGGAATTAAAATATTTTTAGTAGAAATAACAATAAAAAATAACAAAACTACACAGAAAGAAATATTTCTTAGCTCAAGAAAATTTTCGAGTGCCTGAATGAAGACCGAAGTTGTGTTGGCCGAAGTAAAAATTTTTCTTTAAATTCTATTCTTGGTAGAATTTTTTCTTAATTCAAATTATCATAAATACTTGATACAATTAATTTTTATATTTGATCAAGATTTTTAGATACTTTAGGGAAGCAGCGCCACCTATTTCAGCTGAGAAAAAAATTTTCTCACCATGAGAAAATTTTTCTCTTGAATATTTGATACCCAATTGGTATTATTTTAGCGTGCAATTATACATATTGAATGAAAAAAAAAATGAAATATTATTTGATCTTCCCATTTGACATGTTAATCAATAAAAATATTAATGAAAATTTAATTCTATCTTTATATTTAATTTTTTGGAGCAAGAGAGAAATTTTCTCAAGACAAGAAAATTAACTTCTATCAAGAAATAAATTTTTTGGAGCAAAAGGCTGAATTTTCTCAAAACAAGATTTTCTTGACTTAAATAAATTTTCTTGGATCAAGATACGTATTTTTTCAAGCAAGAGACTTAATTTTGTTGGAATAAGTGATCAAAAAAAATTTTTTTTTCGCTCAAAAAAATAATGAGGAAGAAAAATATTTTCTTGTTGAGAAGAAATAAAAAAAGCCTTGTGTTATCTGCACCGAGGTCTTACTTTAGTATCTCAAGGAAGGGTCCTGGACAGTTCTGGGTACCAAAAGCTGGAGCAAGAGTCGATAATATATACACAATACCCAAATAACATAACAATGATTGTATGTACAGCAAGTATATGTATATTATCGTCGAGAGTTGCTCGGAAAGAACAAATACAGCAAGGACGGCATGATTTTTGTGCGCCACATTGTGAAAAGACCACCCACGATGAGGACAAGGCGCAGAGGCAATATTTAGCGAAAGGCAAATCTCCGTCAGCGGACCACCCACCTTGTATTCGTCGTACTCCGTCGTCGTTTAAGTGATCAGTGGTTCTTGCTCTCTCGATTCCAATCCAGCCCGGCTTGCTATCTTGGCTCTACTCTCTACTCTATACTTCTCTTCAGCTTTAGCTTTAGGTTTAGCTTCAGCTTCAACTTCATCCTTAGCTTGGACTTGGACTTGGCTCTGTAACTCAAATATATCAGCACAAGTACTGTATTGTACTGCGTCCTCTAACGCGGTGCGCTTATATTATTCCGCTGGTATCCAAAAGAAGAACAAGGCCAAAATCAAGTCCAAGAGCAAACCCAGTACATATACATACACATAGCTTGAGTATAAGTATAATAAGTAAGGAAGATAGCTTCTTCTTTTTGCTCCTCTTCATCAGGTCTGAGTTGAGAAGAGACTCTTTAAGCTTGAGGCTTCATCCCCGAACCCCGAAGTAAAGACGGTGTGTATTTTACCTGATGTACACACTGGAGATAATGATTCTTATGTATCATTAAATTCACTCGATCCTTTCCTTTTTTCGTTATTTTTCAGTTAAATCATCCTCTTCATCTAATCGACTATCCTTTTTAATAAGTACCGGTTAAATTGGAGTTTAATGTACTCCCAGCGGAATCCATTAAGAACCAAAACAATAAGGATTACAATTTAATGTATTACATATTATATCTTTGGTTGTATATGTGGATAATGGATATACTTATACACACTTGTGCTTATCCAGATATTTGTGAGTATAACAGTGGGGGAATAGAGTGGCGGCGAATACCGGTTAGTATACACGTCAAAACCGTCGTTGGTTTAAACATTGTCTATAGCACCAGGCTCGCGCCCTGGACCACCCAAGTCACCAAGATTGCACACACGGAAGTTAAACCATTCCCTCTCTATATCCACGCGCTTCGCAGACATTCATTTGGGCGCACACTAAAATGTTTACCTGAGATATCTACATACATATAAATATATATATATATACAGAGATACCTTTATGTGCAGGCACTCTGATCGGAGCAGTTAATATATTATTAAATATTTAAAATTCATGATAATAAAATAACAACGTCGATAGTTATGTGAGCTTGTTAATCTGCTATTTAATTACGCAATAAATAATTTTACCGAGCTAAGACAAATGTATTTGAAATTTCGATTGATAATTTAATTACTGATAAACGACGTGCTATTTATGCCAGCTGGACAAGTACCTTTGTTTATTATTCCAGTACTCAGTTTGACGTTAATTAAGTAAAGAATTTTTTTTTATTGAGAATTGATGGGTATTCGATCATCTATATTATGTATCTCTAGATACATAATCAAGAAATGACCTTGTATCTTGTGAGCTATTGACATTTTTAAAGATATAAGCTCATCCCGATGTTACACTCGTCAAGAGCTTTCATTTCAGTACCTACATGCATTTTTGATATATTTTTCATACATACATATATATAATATATATACATATATAAAATATATAAAAAATTGATGTGGGTACTCAAATGAAAGGTCTTGATGAGTGTAATGTCGAAATGAGCTTATATCTTCAAAAATGTCAATATTTCACAAGATACAAGGTCATTTCTTAATTATGTAATATATATTTTAAAGATATAAGCTCATCCCGACATTTTACTCATCAAGACCTTTCATTTGAGTACCCACATCAGTTTTTCATATATTTATATATATTATATATATATATGTATATATGAAAAATATATAAAAATGCATGTGGGTACTCAAATGAAAGCTCTTGATGAGTGTAACATCGGGATGAGCTTATATCTTTAAAAACGTCAAAGCACAATTTTATTTATTTATAATTCACAAGTCACGGTAGTCACGTAGTGACTACAAGGTTGCTAGTATTTAATAATTACAAATACGGGGACGCAAAATGTTATCGCGGGAAGAAATAGACAAAATAATATTTTTATGGGATAAACAAACAGGATAAATTAATATATTACGCAAGTTAAAAGTTGTTTGTTGAATGAATGAATGGATGAATGAATGAATGAATGAAATAAAAACGTCAGACGTTGTGATGTTATTCTCTGTAGCTAATGTAACATTACGAATTGTGATTGTGAAGTAAATCACACTTACATGCTGGTGTATTGAAATACCATCTAGTACTTTGTATAACGCACATATATGTGTATACATATGTATGTAGATATATGGGTGTATATAGTTAGTTAGACGCTTTGGGTGGTCCTTAAACATCGCCGTGGGCGGTCTCAGATATTCACTAACACCATTTTGTGTGTGATATTAATCGGAGAGTAGGCATCACGCTTTTTTTTATTTAACATCCGTGGTAAATAGTGTTGATACCGAGTTTCAGTTTTACACTGCTCTGCAAAGCTCCATTCCAAAATTATTGTGTCAGAGCTAACTAAATTATTTATTATTTTTAATTTTATTTGTTCGGTTTTTATCCAGGCAACTCCGATGCATAATTAATCACTATCAGTCTTCGTAGCTTCATCAGAAGAAGAATTTCCGGTGGAAATTTATATTCAAGTGACGTGTCTAATGCCGAACAAAGACTGTCTAGAGTCTAGGGTTTAAAAAAATGAATAATAACAATTATTATTTATTATACCTATTCATAATTGATTACCGCAATATTTTACCTTCTTCCTGGTCATCATAATGTAAGTACACTGAAAGAATAAGATGACACTGGATATCATCCCAGATTACAGCCCAAGTTTAAAACACAGTAACTGCAAAATTTTTATAACTGATTTTTTTTAGTATTGTTACATTTATTATATCTTAATTTCAAGCACTTTTTCTTGAAAATATTTATATTAATGTATTTTTCATTCATGAATCAAATTTTTTTATCAAATTGGCGCGCAAACTTTTTTTTAATAAAAAAAATTTTTTAATTATCAATTCATGTGTTTTGAAATTGGGCAGCTTATTATACTGAGTGAAAAAAATTTCAGATAGTAGTTAGTATAATCCAGATTACAATCAGTATAATCTAGATATCACGCAGTATAATCTGGATTTTTCATGAAAATAAAGTTAACCGACATTTCAAAATTTTTTATTGAAATTGAAAAAATTTCAATTAAAAAAAAAAAAATTGTCATATGTAAAAAACTTGAAAAACTATAAGTGCAATTTTTTAGAATAATTTTTTTAGTTGTAATTTAATTAATAAAAAAAATCAAAAATTTTTACTACTAACTTCAGTATCATGATTTTTCTAGCTACAATCTGAAATTTTTTTTTTCATCACAGATATCACTGAGTATAATTTGGGATGATACCCGTGTCATCTTATTTTTTCCGAGTAGCGACTGAAGAAATATACTGAAGAACTAAACCTACTTGATACCTTCATATTGATATTACACATACTTACAATAATAATTATATATCCCTACATAGTTTATATAGATTCAAATTGTTATTAGTTCCAACTTGGATGTATAATATATAAACCGCATCGTCATCTGGGTAATCCTCGCGTGCGATTACTTTCTCTCTCCTTCATCAGCTCTCCTGTAGGATGTAAGTGCCTGTAAGCTGGTGTTAGTACTCCTGTCTTATCATCACGATCTTAGTTTAAGTTGTGTGGAGAGACAGTGCAGACCATTGCTTTTACCCGAGCCTCTTGTTACTTTTATCTCGTGAAAATATATTTTTTCACAGGTCTTTAAGTGAAAAATTCCTCTGAAAGTTAAATTGGAGTTTCGGGTACCTGTTGAAGAAATTTACCAAGAATAACATTGGGAAAAAATGTAAATTGGAGCGAGTTAATGAGAAGGAGACTTACCAGAAGGATACGATCCTGCTGTGACGCACAACTGACAACATGTTTTATCCAAGGGAGAGCTTGGATTCCTGGAGTGTGTGCTTGAGCGAGATGGAGGAGAGGAAAGTAAGTAGTGGGGAAGAAATATCAACTATGGCTGGCGCTGAAAGCCGTGTTGGAGTTGGAGTTGTTGGAGTGAGCCTACACGACTACGAAAGAAATGTAGCAGCGAGCAACAGCTCCAGAGAGTGCCCGAGAGCTTCCTTCAGTACCAACTTTGACGGCTAAGCGCGCGAGTCGTGTGAGGTTATCCACGCGCTCAACACATCTGATCGCTATTTTTTAAATTATTTACTGCAAAAGTTGCGTGTTTTTACTTACCGGAGTTTTCAATATTTAAATCCTCGGATTTATTATTTATTAATTATTGATTTTAAAATATTTTAACTGATAGTAAATAGAAGTTAAGTGTGGATTAAATACAGAAAGTGAGAAAGGCTGACTACAGCCTTACACTTAATATTAACACACAGTGCGTCACGTACACAGACACACACACTCACAAAATACCACACAAGCTTCAGCTGGATTTTTCTCTTTTTCTCGCCGCTTCCTCTTATTCTTTTTGTGAATGCTGCAGCAGCAGCAGCAGCAGCAGCAGCAGCAACAGCAGCAGCAGCAGCAGCAGCATCAACAGTATCACCAGCATCACCATCAACCGACCTGTAGTTGTTTAAATAAAATAAAGTTTTTAATTTTATTTTAAAACAAACCGCGGGAAAATTTAAATACTTACTTATAAATGTGCCAGTGTGTGTAAATCAAGTCAGTGTAAACAAAGTTGTGAAAAGTGACGTAAAATTTATTATCGAGCTCCAGAACCAGCTATCACCACGATTAAAATTGGATATTATCAGGAACACGAGTGTGTGCGGACACGTGGTGTATTATTATCGAAGGTACGTGATACAGAGGGTGCAAATCTGGTGGATAATAATTTTAAAGTGATACGTGGGAGCAAGCAGCAGATGCATGACAGATCATGGTCTCTGAGTCCGAGCCTACAGGGATCCTAGCGGGACGCCCTATTGGTGCTAGTTCTAGTGCTAGTACCTGTTATAATAGCAATAATAATATTAATAATAATAATAATAATAATAATAATAATATTAATAATAATAGTATTAATAATTCGCCGGGAAATTCACAACCGGCGCAACATCACACTAAAGATAATAATGCCAATAAAAACATTGAGACTTACGATGTCGACGAGAGGCATATGTCCAATCTATTGGTCAGGCCGAGCTGGACAGATGCTGCCATTGCCCTGGATCAAGTCGAAAAGGTGTGTGTGTGTGAATTATTATACTACTCTGGGGATCTGACTTAGCAATATTATTAAATATTAAATAATAATAAAGTTAGCCGACGTTTTTTATTTTTTTATTATTTTTCAATTATTAAATTTAGATAATAGTAAAGTTAGCCGACATTGTTAATTTTTGGAGTTATTTTTTAATTATTGAATTAGAGTTAAATATTATTTTAAAAAATTGCACTTATAGTTTTTAAAGTTTTTTATAAATGAAAATTTTTTTTTATTTTTTTGTAATGATTTTTTCAATAAAAAAAAATTTTAAATGTCAGCTAACTTAATTTTCATAAATATTAATGATAATAAATTTAGCAGATATTTAATAATTTTTTTTTAAATAATAAATCATGGCAATAAAAAAGTTAACATGTAGAAATTTTAAAAAATTAAAAATGCAATTTTTTAAAAATAATTTTTTGGAGGAATTTTTTTTTTTTTTAATCTTTAAATTCTCTAGTGAGACTGCTAACTTTAATGTCATTAAATATATTATATTTTAAAGCGAGTCATTTAGCTTTCTTCAATACTGACAATAGCAGACATCTGAAAATTTTTTAAAAAGGTTTCGCATGCTTTTTTATATTTCTTCCTTTACATATTTACTATTTTAAATTATCAGATGTCTGATTTATGATACTAAAATTAACAATTTTTTTTTTTAGATTTTTATAAAAATTAAATTAAAAAATAATTTTATTTGTAAAGAAATTTTTTAAATATTTAAAATAAAATAAATAATTGTCTGTTATTTTAAGTATCATTACTTTCTTCACACTAAACCAATACTAAAATCTATTAAATAAAATAAAAGCCAATATTCTTTTAAAAATGCTAATTTGAAACTGAGCATAGCACGGAATAATTTTTTTTGCCCAAGTGACTTTTCTTCTTCTTATTCTTGATCTTCTTCTCAAAGTACTTGATCTCAATACTTGTAACGACTTTTATTTGCCGTAGAGATATTATACAGTCTGGAGATTAAGAGCTTGAAATTTATCTGTAAAAATAAATAATAAAAATCTAGAAGTTTAAATGAATAAAAGAAGAAATGAATATATTTATACGACTGTTGTATTGAATTAGAGGATACAAACCGATACTTGAGTAATAGTCTGAAAGTTAATCGTCTTAAAATTCTCTCCCACATCTCGTAACGTTTTTTACTATTATATTTTATTATTCACGGTCCTTTCTCTTTTTCTATCGGTATAATACGTAAATCTGTCGAAATCGCAATCGTAAATGGCAACAAATCAAAAAATATAAAAAACCAAATGTTCCATGACGAATTATATATTTCGATCAGCATAATAAAATAACATTACCTGTAACACAAAAAAAATATTTCTTCTTTAAAAATTTAATACAAAAATTTACTTACACTACCATACTCACCATATTACCCACACATACATGAAGATATACAGACAACTATATACTGTATAATATATATATATTATATATTATACAGTATAGCAGTGTGAAGGATTGGTTAGTCGCGCACGTTACATACCGAAGGACGTCGCTCTACCCAGGTCGGGCAATGGTCCCTTTACTTTTCGACTAGACCCACATACAGAGAACTAAACAGAACTTACGGCTTTTCTCAGAAATTTCCGCTTGGGAGGCGAAACGGAAAAGCTGCCGACCCCCGCCCACTTAACTTAAAGTTTCATTAATTCTGTTTAAATTATTATTATTATTATTAAGATGTTTTTGACTTATTTTATGTATCATTTATAAGAGCATACTTTTTAAGACCAAAAATCAAAAACTCAGACTGAAGACTAGTATAGACTCCGGACTCAGCTCCAACAATGTGTAATTTATTTCCTCCATTATAACTGGAGCCGGGAAGAAATTCCAGACATTCACCATTTACATCATCATTAATTATCAATAACAGATGCAATAGTTGTATTGATGATGGTTGATGTCTTGACTAAAGAAAATAAAATAAAATAAAATTCAAAGATTTCGGGAAAAATATTGATTTTTTTGACTTGACATTAACGACTCTTAGCCGCGGTTTGCTGATTTGCATTTGAAAATTACACGGTTCGCAGGCATGTGGACGGCGGTGGGTTCTGTACTAATATGCTGGTGGAACTGCCTGGGGGTTTCCTGGGCGGTGAAGGCTACGGGGGCTGACACCACTGATGGATATAAAATTACTCGTACTCGTATGTTATACACATAAGCTAATCACGTAAGTCTATTGGAAAAATATTGGAGCACTCCAGCGCACTACCCCGACATTACTCTGCATTAGCATTATACATCATGCCCTCGATCATTTTATTATTAAGTTATTTATTATCTGTAATTCCATCCTGTATTTATTTTCGTAGACATTAAAAACAATCTTGCAATTCCCGGTCTCAGTGTGGATTGAGGTAATGATGAGTAAACGATAACTTCCAAGCAAATTGCTGTAAAAATCTAAAAAAAATCAGTGGAATTATCTTTAAAGAAGTTAACTTTTGATAAATAAAAATGATTTCTTTTTATTTTTTATTAAAAATTACAATCCAAAAAAATCATTTTTAATTTTTTTGATTTCTTTAAAACAATTTACTTGATTAAAAATTATTTTTTAAATCAAATAAATTTTTATTTTAAAAATATTTCTTACCTTTTTATTTATAAAAATTTTTGATTTAAAAAATAATATGATGCTCCAGTGTTAAATTTTCTTTTTGAAATCACTTTTAATTTTTAAAATTCAAGTTTTTATAAAAAAATTTCAATCCAAAAAAATAATTTTTAATTTTTTTTGATTTCTTCAAAAAAATTTAATTAAAAATAATTTTTTAAATCAATATAACTCTTTTAATTCAAATAAAAATATTTCCTACCTTTTTTCTTAAAAAAAAAAAATATTAAAATTTGTGATTTAATTTAATAATGCTCCAGCATTAAATTTTCTACTTGAAGATCATCAATAGTCTTATTAATTAACCATCTCAGTAATAATTACTTCATCAGCTGTCAGCAGTCTTAAGTATTATATGTTAATCTTGAGACATATTGCAATAATAATTGTTAGATTAATTAACATTAATCAATTACAGAGATTATTAAGTTAATAGAATGACGGAGAAGAATAATTTCTCTTTATGTACATCTTCTCTGTGGTACTTTAAAAGCTTTTTTCTTATTTTCAAACAGAAAAGATAAGCGTATTGTTGCGGGTGGTCCAAGAGCCACATTGTCAGAATCAGAGAACTACCACCGGCGGTGACCAACCGGCAGGTAGTGGTGCAACGTTGCCGCTCGCAATGTTGCGCTCGGTCCTTCCCTCGTGCTCGTTTATCTGAAGAAAATTTTATTATTTAAACTTAAATTTTTATTTCTTCATTTTTGTTTCAATTATTCCTCACACTGTAGAAGAAATAATTTCATTTCATTTCTGCTTTTTAAACACTAATGCATGTCCTGTCCTTATCTGCAATAAAAAAAATTAATAATTAAATGTATGTACAATTTAAAGTAAAAATAAAATCTATGACTTACCGTAAACTTTCGCTAACTCTGAAATTATTCGACAGGGCAAGGCAACCGGTCAGAGGTCAAAGCTGTGGATTCGAGCGAGGTTTCAAGATCATCTCAGTCGAATAGCGGACTTTCTCCAGAGAAACGCTGGCAAGGTACTCTTTGTTACCATCCTGATCCTTGCGACCTTGAGCATTGCTGTCAGATGCGCCCATTCCCGAAACAAAGTCGAACAATTGTGGATTCAAGGTAAATATATCACTTAAAATCAAACTTATCACTCACAAGATTCTTTTTTTCTTCACACTGATAGAAGGATTTGGTATAAAAAATTTTTAACCATTTATTTGGGAGAAAAAAATATTTTTTACCCATTAATATTATTTATTACAGTTCAATAAATTATTTTTTTATTCTAAATAAATTATATTAATATAAACAAAGCCTTATTACTTATAAATAAATTTTTTTTTCCACCAAATAATATTTAGTAGTAATTACTGGAAATTTTATTGGAAAAACTGGAGCAAAAAAATATTTTTTAAAAATTACACTTACAGTTTTTCAAGTTTTTTACAAATAAAATTTGAAAAATTATTAAAAAACAATTAAAAGAAAAAATTTCACATATAGAAAATTTCAAAAATTATATGTGCAATTTTTTAAAAATATTTTTTTAGTTCTAATTTAATTAATAAAAAAAAAATCAAAAATTGTTCAACGTCGGCTAAGTAGTATCATTGTTTTATTTTAAATTTTATAAATGTCTCAAATAAAAAATTATAATTCAATGATACACTGAAAAAAAAATTAACTTGAATCAAGAGAAAAATTCTTGAACCAAGGAAATAATTTTGAAGAGTTTTATTGTCTTGAATCAAGACGAAAAATTCTTATATAAAGCTATATTTATTTAAACCAAGAAAAATTTCTTAGCTTGATAATTTTTCTATTTAAATCAAAAAGATGAAATTCTTCAAAATTGATACCTTATATTTTTACTTAAAATTATTTATTTTAATTATTTTGAGTAAAAAAATTAGATTATACTTTGAAATTATTTAAAAAATTGATTTCTTTAATACCAATAAAAGATTTATTGAGTATCAATAAATAATTTGTTAAATACTACTAAATATTTATTTGGTGTAAATAAATTGGCTTCAATTAATAAACTATTAAGTAACTATTACCAAATTCTATAAAATAGAACTAAATCCTTCTATCAGTGCAGTCTATAGGGTTTAAAACAAAATCCTCGTTACGATTTCTCCGAGTACTTTTAAGTATATTTTACCGCTTCCCTTTTGTCGGCACGGTAATCCCTAGGTAGATTTTTTAAAAAACCGGAAAAAACTCAACCTGTGTACATATATAATGTTGACTTTAAATGAGTTAAAACATTAAATGGAGATAGAAGAAGAAGAAGAAGACGAAGATGATGATGATGATGATGATGATGATCATCATGAAGAAGAAGAAGAAGAAGAAGAAGAAGAAGAACCAGGGAAGAAGTTTGTAGAAGGCGGTAGAAAAAGAAGGCAAGAAGGCACCAGAACTGTATATGGGTTGTAAGAACCCGCGGCGGCTGCTGCTTATAGACATTTTCATTTAGATCCTGTCTCCTCCCCCTGTCCCTGTCTCTCATAGCATGCCTTCCGGCTCGAGCAGGAAAAGAGTAAGAGAGAAGCCTAAATCAAGGGAGCATAGCAGAGAAGTAAAGACGATGTATATACTTATATATATATATAGCCACGGACACATATATACATCCAGATGCACACACACATGGATAGAGAAGAAAAGAGAGAGAGAGTGCGAGAGACCTACCACCAGGAATCTGTTGTTGTTATTGTTGTTGTTGTTGTTGTTGTTACTGCACCAAACCGGTGATGGTGGAAGGTCTTATTAAACAGGGGATCTCATCTCTCGTGGACGTCCTGGATTCGAGCTTCCAGCTCCAGAATCTCTGGAGCCGCTGGATCCGATCAATAAATGACATAAATATTGAGTTAATTGTAATCGAGGATGAAATTAATTAAATCGTCGTAATGAGAGCTGCGTTATGGAGTCTGGAGCCTCTTCCAGAGGCTAGAGCTGGAGATGCTTGCTGTGTGTGGACGGGATGGTGATGAGCACCGTCGCCGCCGCCACAAAATGGGATGGGGTCCGTGTGCCGTTCCACGCAGTGAATGGTCGCCATGGGTGGCCCGCATCGCCTCAGTCTTTCTCTTTTTCTCTCCTCTCGCTCCTTCAGTTTCCTCGTGGAGTCTGCAGACATGGATAGGATATATATTTTAGTCTGTATAAATGTATAAAATATATATAAATGTATAAAATGTATGTCTGTATGAGCGTGTACGTTACCTAGTCAGTTGAGTGAGTCTCTGCTGATGATGCTGCCGGGGCTACGATAGGTACTGCGTGCTACGAGTGCCTATACAACTGAAACTTAACCCCGGCGACGAGCAAGACCAAGACGACCACAGTCGAGACTCCGCATTTGCTTCTCCCTCGCTCCTTCCTATGCTTTTTAGCTTCTTCTCTCTTGCGGACATTATGCGTGTCTACTCGCCTCAAACGGTATTTGTCTCTCATCCTTGAAAATTAGTTGTATCATTACGTTGATTATTTTCTTACTTGACGTCTCATTTAGCCAATAAAAATTCAGTCTATTTTCATATTCATAATCATATTTGTGAATTTTTTTTTTTTTTTGGTTTTTTACAGCTCATTATCCTTAATTGATTTTGGTGAAATACCTTTTTTAATTGGGTAGATTGATACATTTAAAACGTATCCATAAACATTTGTATAAGCTAGCAGTCATTATGTGGCTTCCGTGACTATAAATAAATAAAATTTTGCTTTATTAAGTAATTATGTTTAATTGCACTGTAGTTTCTTTAATATTGAGGTTTTTAAAGATATAAGCTCATATTGATGTTACACTCATCGAGAGCTTTCATTTGAGTACCCACTTGCATTTTTGATATATTTTTCATATATACATATATATATATATATAATATATGTAAATATATAAAATATATGAAAAACTGATGTGGGTATTCAAATGAAAGGCCTCGATGAGTGTAATGTCGGAGTGAGCTTATGTATTTAAAAATGTCAATAGTTTACAAGATACAAGGTCATTTCTTAATTATGTAATATATATTTTAAAGATATAAGCTCATTTTGATGTTACACTCATCAAGAGCTTTCATTTGAGTACCCACATACATTTTTGATATATTTTTCATATATACATATATATGATATATATAAATATATAAAATATATGAAAAATTGATGTGTGTACTCAAATGAAAAGTCTTGATGAGTGTAACATCGAGATGAGCTTATATATCTTTAAAAATATCAATAGTTCAGAAGATACAAGATCATTTCTTAATTATATATCTAGAGAAGTATCAAGACCTTTGCAATGACACTAAAAAAACCGATTTTATCATATGACTATCCTGGACACAAAATTTTTCTTATTCTCTTAATAATATAAATTACTTGTCAAGTAGATACTCACGTAATAATTCCAAAGACCATTCATCAATTCTCTCCCCCGGCGGTCAGAGTTTCTTTGACTAGAACTTGCTCTAAAACTATTTTTTTAGTGCCCTAGGTTTAGCTATTATTATTTCAAGTTATAAGAAGGCTTATAGAAAGATAATTGGTTAAATCATTTCTTGGTACTCCAATTTGTAATTTATATTATATATTGCGTAGATGTCTATTCTATAACAAATAATTATTTTGGGGTATTAATGCGTTTTACAGAAGGCGGAACTCTCGAGCGAGAGCTTAACTATGCGGAGGACTGGCTCGGAGAATCGGCCCCACAGACTCACCAACTGATAATTCAGATGCCAAAACATTCCGGTGCAAATGTCTTGAATCCGCAAGCGCTCAAGGAACACCTCAATATTATTTCACAAGCTATGCAAGTCACTGTCGAGATGTTTGAAGTGTAAGTTTTTATATTTTTTATTTTTTTATTTTTAATATCATTTTTATTTATTTTATTTATTTTTTATGTCATTTTATTGCAGAACGTGGAGTCTCAGAGATATTTGTGTTAGGATGACGATACCAGATTTCGATAATTATCATATTGAACAGGTATTTAATGCTCTATAAAAATAAATTTACGTTTATTGTAATTAAAATATTTTATTTAATGATCAATTTTATTTAATAATGAATTTAAATCGGCAGATTTTTGAAAAAATGATCCCGTGTAATATTATGTCACCGCTGGATTGCTTTTGGGAGGGAAGCAAACTCATGGGACCAGAATATCCTGTTCATATTCCGTAAGTATATAAATTAGTAATAAAAGACATTTATTAAATAATAAAGACTAGCAACTTTGTAGTCTTGTGAGATAAAAAATTAAAATTTTGCTTTATTAACTAATGAATTTTGTTAAATTGCACTGTAATTTTTTTTAAATGTTGACTTTTTTAAAAATATAAGCTCATCCTGATGTTACACTCACCAAGACCTTTCATTTGAGTACCCACATCAATTTTTCATATATTTATATATATATATATATATATATTACATATACATATATATGAAAAATATATCAAAAATGCAAGTAGGCACTCAAATGAAAGCTCTTGATGAGTGTAACAT